GAGTTGAAGACAGACGGAGACAGGAGGAGTTAAAGACAGACGGAGACAGGAGGAGTTAAGACAGACGGAGACGAGTTAAAGACAGACGGAGAAGGAGGAGTTAAAGACAGACGGAGACGGACGGAGTTAAAGACAGACGGAGTTAAAGACGGACGGAGACGAGTTAAAGACGGACGGAGACGGACGGAGTTAAAGACGACGGACGATTAAAGACAGACGAGACAGGAGGAGTTAAAGACAGACGGATACGAGTTGAACAGACGGAGACAGGAGGAGTTAAGACGACGGAGACAGTAGGAGTTAAAGACAGACGGAGACGAGTTAAGACAGACGGAGACAGGAGGAGTTAAAGACAGACGGAGACGGACGGAGTTAAAGACAGACGGAGTTAAAGACGGACGGAGACGAGTTAAAGACGGACGGAGACGGACGGAGTTAAAGACGGACGGAGACGAGTTAAAGACAGCGACGGAGTTTAAAGCGGACGGAGACGGTTAAAGACAGATGGACGGAGTTTAAAGACGGACGTAGATGAGTTAAAGACAGACACTTAAAGACAGACAGAGACGGACGGAGTTAAAGACAGACGGAGACAGGAGGAGTTAAAGACAGACGGAGACGAGTTGAAGACAGACGGAGACAGGAGGAGTTAAAGACAGACGGACGAGTTAAAGAGACGGAGACAGGAGAGTTAAAGACAGACGGAGTTAAAGACAGACTGAGACGAGTTAAAGACAGACGGAGAAGGAGGAGTTAAAGACATACTTGTTAAAGACAGACGGAGACGAGTTAAAGACAGACGAGACAGGAGGAGTTAAAGACAGACGTTGTTAAAGACAGACGGAGACGAGTTAAAGACAGACGGAGACAGGGAGTTAAAGACAGACGGAGATGAGTTAAAGACAGACGGACAGGAGGAGTTAAAGACAGACGGAGACGAGTTAAAGACAGCGGAGACAGTTAAAGACAGACGGAGACAGGAGGAGTTAAAGACAGACGGAGATGAGTTAAAGACAGACGGAGACAGGAGGAGTTAAAGACAGACGGAGATGAGTTAAAGACAGACGGAGACGAGTTAAAGACAGACAGAGACAGGAGGAGTTAAAGACAGACTGAGACGAGTTAAAGACAGACTGAGACGAGTTAAAGACAGACGGAGACAGGAGGAGTTAAAGACAGACTGAGAGTTAAAGACAGACGGAGACAGGAGGAGTTAAGACAGACTGAGACGAGTTAAAGACAGACGGAGACAGGAGGAGTTAAAGACAGACGTTGTTAAAGACAGATGGAGACGAGTTAAAGACAGACGGAGACAGGAGGAGTTAAAGACAGACGGAGACAGTTAAACAGACGGAGACAGGAGGAGTTAAAGACAGACGGAACAGGAGGAGTTAAAGACAGACGGAGACAGGAGGAGTTAAGACAGACTGAGACGAGTTAAAGACAGACGGAGACAGGAGAGTTAAAGACAGACTGAGACGAGTTAAAGACAGACGGAGACAGGAGGAGTTAAAGACAGACGTTGTTAAAGACAGACGGAGACGAGTTAAAGACAGACGGAGACAGGAGGAGTTAAAGACAGACTGAGACAGGAGGAGTTAAAGACAGACGTTGTTAAAGACAGACGGAGACGGAGGAGTTAAAGACAGACGTTGTTAAAGACAGACGAGACAGGAGGTTAAAGACAGACGTTGTTAAAGACAGACGGAGACGAGTTAAAGACAGACGGAGACAGGAGGAGTTAAAGACAGACGGAGACGAGTTAAACAGTCACGTGAACCCTCGCCTGTCCGGCCTTTTACCTTCTTTACAGTACAGAAGGGGGATATTTTTCTCTCCGTCGCAGCGACCTGCAGCGGCGGCGGCGGCGTTGATGTCCCTCCTGAGATGGAGGCATCCACACCAATCCAGCAGTCTGGAGCCAGCCCGCTTAGCCAGTCCATCTGAGCGGAGACCTGAGAGGGGTAATCTGAGGGTCTCTGGTCCACAGAGTCCAGACCGCAGTCCGTCACAGCGAACAGAGTCACGTACGCCGTCGTCGCAAACTGTCAAATATAAACACGTACTTCAGGAAGCAGAATGTCACGGCGAAACGGAAACTGTCAGCGTGAATTTTTTCGCTTCACGTTACTCGTGAAGGACCGCTGGACTGCCTAATCCGGTTACTGCAGCCGGAAGAACCCGAATAAACATTTAGCTTGATTTAGTTTCAATAAACGGATGCTGAACTAACGACGTCATGAACACGTGACTTCCTGCTCTGTCAGGTCTGCCAATGACAAGCACACAGCTTTTAAAATGCTTCTTTTCTGAATGGAGTTTGGTTTGAACGTGTTTCACAGTAAAACAGACTCATATTTCCTGATCTTACAGCTAGTTTAACTTCCTCTCTTCCTTTTCTCTGAACATTTCACGTGAATTTTCTCACTCGCGTCTTTGCGTTGAGTTTGTACTTAATCGCGCCGTGCGAAACCCTCGCTTCGTGTTCTGCGTTCCCCCTCAGGACAGTCTGACAAGTAGCTGTTAGACCAGTTTAATTTCATCAATGTAAATTTAGTTGAGCTGAAACTTTTTTGACCGACGACGAGACGAGAGGGTTCTTCCTGGGAACATGAATATGTACAGAACGGGATCATGAGCGACACGCAGGCTCGTAGGTCACCTGACTTCAGGAGTTTTAACCGTAATGAAGTCCCAGATGTTGAGGAAGTAGTCTTTGGCGGTGCTGTGAACGTCTTGAAGTGAAACAGGGAGGTGATGTGATGAAGAGTTCCTCGAGCGTTCTCACTTTCTCGCTGAGAAGCATCTTCATCATGTCCTGAAAACACATCATCACTGGATCAAAGTGTTTTCAGCTGGAGCAGCTGATGACTTCCTGTAATCATTTTCACAAACATCAAACAAATAGTCGCTGGCGTGCTCCTCACCTCGTGGAACAGGTGTTCCTTCTGAAACTCCTGCGGCGCTTCTACGAGTCCATCAACTTCAGGTCGGGCTTCGGGTCGGGATCTTCGCGGCGCTCGGTCCTCCGGGCTGAGGACGTCCCGCAGTACAGGATGCGGTACGGCTTCCGGAGACCACGGGGATGTAGTCTGTCAGGCCGTAGGCGGCGCCGACAGACTCCTCCGTGGAGTTTGGGATCGCTGCACCCAGACTCACCTGAGGGGGACAACAGCTCCGCTGTTCACACCTTCCTGGTATTCACGGGACTCTTCAGACGGGCCGGACTCACCGTGTGCTCGCGCCTTCATCAGCTCGGAGTAGACGTGAGGAATGTGTCTCGCCACTCGTCCTCTGGGGCCCTTCAGGGCCGTCAGGCTGCGGCGATGATTCGCATCACTAAGGTTTTCATTCGCCGCCGCAGCGACTCGTACGTCTGAGGAGGAGGAGGAAGAAGAAGAGAGGAGGGGGGGGAGGAGCAGCAGGAGGAAAGGAAGGAAGAGGAGGAGCAGCAGGAGGAAAGAGGAGGAGGAGGAAGAGGAGAGGGGGGAGGAGCAGCAGGAGGAAAGGAGGAGGAGCAGCAGGAGGAAAGGAAGAGGGGGGGAGGAGCAGCAGGAGGAAGAGGAGAGGGGGGGAGGAGCAGCAGGAAGAGGAAGAGGAGGAGGAAGAGGAAGAGGAGCAGCAGGAGGAAAAGGAGGAGGAGGAGGAAGAGGAGAGCAGCAGGAGGAAGAAGAGGAGAGGAGGAAGAGGAAGGAGCAGCAGCAGGAGGAAAAGGAGGAGGAGGAGGAAGAGGAGGAGCAGCAGGAGGAAGAGGAGCAGCAGGAGGAAGAAGAGGGGAGGAGGAAGAAGAGGAGGAAGAGGAGGAGCAGCAGGAGGAAGAGGAGGAGGAAGAGGAGGACAGCAGGAGGAAGAAGAGGAGGAGAGGAGAAGAGGAGGAAGAGGAGGAGCAGCAGGAGGAAAAGGAGCATGCAGGAGAAGAGAGGAGGAAGAGGAGACAGCAGGAGGAAGAGGAGGAGGAGGAAGAAGAGGAGGAGCAGCAGGAGGAAGAGGAGGAAGCAGCAGGAGGAAGAGGAGGAGCAGCAGGAGGAAGAAGAGGAGGAGGAGGAAGAAGAGGAGAAGGGAGGAGCAGCAGCAGCAGGAGAAGAAGAGGCGCAGGCAGGAGGAAAAAGAGGAGGAAGAGGAGGAGCAGCAGCAGGAGGAAGAAGAGGAGCAGCAGGAGGAGGAAGAGGGGAGGAAGAGGAGGCTTTTGGGTCGTTTCACATGAAACTGAGTTTTCTGATCCGTCACGATGACTTTAATATTTATTTGCCTAAATTCTGTATTGATGATCAGTGACATCATCACGTATTGTTTCCGGGCCGCCATGAGACGCCTGGTCTGGCGTCTGTAGAAGTTCTCTGGATGTATAAAGCTGTAATACAGATATTAACGAGTGCGACGTTAACTAGCTGCGTGTCAGTCAGCTCTGTCCTGTACGCACACCGGACATCCGGATATTTAAACTACACGCGTGGCGTCCAGGAGCTGATGTTCCTGCGTGCTGTTTCATACTCACTTCTACAGATCGTGAACCGTCCCTGTTAGAAAACAGCTCTCCGATTGGCTCCTTTTAAAGTGCGCGCACCTGTTTGGACGGCAGGATGCTGGACGGAGACACGTCCGCTGCTTTCGCCGGAGGTCCGTGCAGGTTACGGAAGTTAATCCGAACTCGATGAGCGAAGCGAAACGCCCACGTCGCGAAGCTGTAGCCTGTTCCGCCGAGTCGGACCGGGACACGGACGGCACCTGCGGCACAGAGACGTTCTGTCTTCATTCAGAGACAACAGCTTCTGCGAAGAGGTGTTCAGCCACAGACGTTCTTACCCGAACGTTCCCCCAGGTGAAGGTGTAAGCCGCCGCCTTCCCGGAGTCGACGCTGCAGTACTGCGTCTTTCTCGTCATCTGAAAGAGAAGAAGAATTTCCTCTCTGAGGCGAGACGGCGCGGGCAGACGCAGGGTTATCACGATGCCCGACATGTCTTCCTTCAGCGAAGATCCACATCAAGTCAAATAACAACAGAGAACAACAACCTGAGAAAATCTGCAGACCGGCTAAAGTCGTAGTGATCGTCTATTCGCCAAAAGTATTTGCTTCTCGCAGCTTCCATTCTTCAGAGGCTGGAACAGAGAGCGCCGCCTGCCTCATACTCTGATGTGTCTGCCCAGAGAGACTTGGATCTTTGGCTTAGCTGAATATTTTTGCATTTAAAACCCCGTTAAATATTTAGTTTGTGCAATTAATTTTTCTCTCAACCTCTGTCATCTAAGAAGAAATAAAAACACTGACATGTTGTGACGCACAAAGAGGCTTTGGTTATTATCATCCACACCTGAAATATGGAACATTTTATTCCCAGGAACATGGCGAAATCGTTTTTCCTGCCTGTCGACAGATATCCAGCTCCCTCAGCAAAATCATTTGAGTCTAATGTGTCAACAAAATAAAAGCATCATTTTGAACCTGACTTAGTTCAGAGTTCAGCTCTTAAAATAGATGCAAATTTGCGCATATTTAATGAGATACTGCCTCATTTGCTTATTTAAACATAAGATTTCAGAAAACGTGTAATGCAAATAAATATGGTCTTATTGAGAGTAATTAAGGTTTCATGGAGATATCTGTTACCTTACTCACCGGCAGGTTGAAAACAAATTTACTCGATCAAGTCAGACACCAAGACCGGTCTGACTGGCTGACCTTCTGTCAGGTGTTCTGAAGTAGATCTAACTATAAAAATCAGCAGCTCGACCGTTCTGAAACAAAAACACATCAACAAACACCACGAATGCTGAGACGACGAAGGAGGACTTGGCTCCACCTGGATCTCGTCCCTCCACTGCTTCACCTGCCTGCCGTGCTCCTCGGCGAGCTTCTTGGCGTGACCCTGGCGGTGGTTTTGGACTGCGAGATGCCGAGGCCGTTCATGATGCCGAAGACTTTGACGGGGCAGCGGTGTCGCAGCATCTCCACGCTGAAGGCCGTCTGGAGGAAGCAGGCCCTGAGGTGCTGGTGTACAGCGGCACCGAGAGCAGGCCGATCCCCGGTCCAGCATCTGCTTCGCCTCCTCGTCCGACATCCGCCTGGAACAGCCAGATTTAGGATCCCGAAGGAACCGAGAGAGCCTTGTAGGAACCTAAAGAACCCACACAGAACCCACCGGGGTTTGTTCCCTTGGCTGTAGTTCACGATCTGTTTCTGGATCTTCTTGGCGGGGGGGAACATGGACCTGAGACAGGCCACAGTCAGGGGGCCTTCTCCTCGGCCCAGGAAGTAGTCTTATCCCAGCTGAACGCGGACAGGTTCTCAGGGCTGAAGGTCTTCCTGAACGGACCGTCCAGATCGTTCACCATCTCTTTACGCTGCAGAAACATTTGTTACTGCATCAATATCTAGTCATTACTGCATCAAGTACTGCATCAATATATAGTCATTACTACATCAATATATAGTCATTACTGC